GTCTTATTTGCTATGTATTTGAGTCGAGTACGACGTATATGTGAGGTTACGAGTATCTATACGTTGGTGTCAAGCACGCCCCTGAGTCTCATATTAAGATTGTTATGATTTTGTTATGTATTGATCATGTTTAAATTAATTATTAGCATTATCGAATAAGACTCATGATAAATTCTTGGTAGTTGACCATTATTGAGTATTGTTTCAAGTTGAAGTTATATTGTGAAGTAATTGTTGAAACTGGATTGGTTATAGTTGATTCCCTTGCCGGGACTATATTGTTTCTATTGTTGACTCTCTTGCCGGGACGGTATTGTTCTATTGTTGATTCCTTGTCGGAATATTATTATTTCATTTGTTTGGGTGAGGAAGAGTGTAAAGTACGAAGAGTGATGTCGTGCATGATATTGTAAGAGAGTGTTAAGGCACGAAGGGTGATGTCGTGCCGATATTGTGAGTATTAATGCACGAAGGGTGATGTTGTGCCATGTTATTGAGAGTAAAAGCTCGAAGATTGATGTCGTGCCATGTTATTGAGAGAGTAAAAGCACGAAGAGTGATGTCGTGTTGTTTCTTTGATTTATGTGGTGAGGATGAGAGTAAAAGCACGAAGGGTGGTGCCGTGCACTTGTTTTGTGTTATTACCTCTGTTGCTTCAAGTTTGATGTTTATTTAAACACTTCATTTCATTATTGTCATAACCTGATATCCCCCCACCCCAGGCATGTTTCCCCTTTTTCTGCCTTATCCTGTTTAATTCTTGTTATTATTGTTTCCTGTTATTAGTGCTTCTTGTTACTTTTGCTTCTCGTATATGATAAAATTGCACAGGTTTATGTAGTTGTCGCGTCATAGCCTCATCACTACTTCGCCGAGATTAGGCTCGACACTTACTCAGTACATGGGGTCGGTTGTACTGATACTACACTCTGCACTTTTTTGTGCAGATTCCGGTACTGCCGTACTGGAGCATACGGACTTTAGCTAGGGGTTGCTGCCTTCAGTCCATCGAAGACCCGAGGTAGTCCTGCAGGCGTCCGCAGGCCTTGGCGTCCCCTTCCTATCTTGTTTCTTTCCGTTCTTTTCTATTTCAGAGACAAACATGTATTTTCTTTGTTCAGGCCCTACTTGTAGTTTTCTTAGATAGTCCGTGAGATTGTGACACCAGTTATGGGTGGATTATTATTATGGATTCGTATTGGTATTACTTTAATTGTTAAATTTCGTTCTTCCGCATTATTATCTCGTTATTTATAATATGTTAACTTGCAATTGTTAAGAGATTAAAAAAATAAAAAAGGTAAATTAATCGGAATAGTTGGCTTGGTTAACTTTCACTAGTAGGCACCATCACGATCCCGACGGCGGGAAATCTGGATCGTGACGTCAACCTTGACGGCATCTCAACCCGAAGTCTTTAAAATTCCAAATTCTTAACTGGCGTGCGGGGACTAGGGATATTTTTGGGCTGGACTTTCCTTTCTAAATTGGGCGAAAAGTTGCTGCGTCAGTGTAGTCTGCATTCATAACTCTGCTAAACTAAGCCCACTTATGCATTTGGAAACTAAGCTGTTTGTTCTACATACATAACATAGATCCACAATTCAGTAACTTTCCAAAAATATCTCATAAGATTCAAGAAACAATGTTAAACTTTCCCAATTATTCGGACGAAAACCTTTTAGTACTACACAATTAGATGAATCCCACAAAATTCATATACCTATATATGTATTTTTTAATCTTTGCTACTTTGATATCGACAAATAAATATTTTCCCCAATGGTAAATACTTATTTGCATTATGTGTTTACGCCAAATCAATTCAACTTATCATGGTTAAGTGATTTAATGAAGTAAAAATATGCATTAATTAATCGTGGTTAAGTGATAAAAATGGATGTGCAAACACATATCATATTTCTATTGGCCTGGTGTAAAAATCGGGCGGGGACAAGTTTCTACCTTCACCAACCACTCTCATGTGCTACAAATTGAGTTCATTACTCAGATGTTCATTGAACTATATGAAACTATGGAGTAAAATCACTTTTCTTTCAGTTATAACAAGAAAGTCACTCAACTATCCGTATTACACTCTGATGGTCACTCAACTAGTTATTGATTTTTTCAGTGAAAATGTTGACTTGGTAGTACACACAGACGTTTGGACCATATAGAATAGTTAACACCCGAACAAAGCATATAAACCCACCCATACCCCCGATCTGAACCGTTTATAAAGATAAAAATCCACCAAAAAGTCTTACAATATTCTTTCTTATAACGGGTCGGGTTGAGACGTATTGAGTGTATGAGTGAATTTCTATATTTTGTTTTGGTATTAATTATCAGAGTGCAATAGGAATAATCGAGCGACTTTCTTATTACCAATAAAAGAAAAGTGACTTTACTAATTCAGTGGTTGTTTGAGCAACAGACTCGCTACAAATTTTTAGGTCTATGAAGACCAAAATAACTTAAAATATTATCCTTATATTATATTTTTACAGATATTTTTATCCGTAAAAGTGTGGTATAAGGTAGGGCCTAAGAAGAAATGCGTAAAGAATTTCTTCATAGATTGGAAATCTTATGTCATACGTAAAGCAGTAAAGCACTTACTGAAAACTGCAATTATATGCCGCCATGAAGAGTTGATGGCATATAAAATAAAATATCTTTCAACAATAGCGTGAAGCTTTCTTTATCTTTCTTTTGCCTTTTGTTTTTAGAAGCAAAACGCAATTCATAGAATGAGTAGATACCAAAATTGGTCCTACGGAAATGCCAATAGACACATAATTTAAATGGTTAGACTATGATGTCACAACCAGTTAAGGGCTATGGGTTCAACTCCAACTCTTATCATGTATTGGTTTTCTTGAATATGTATTTGGGTTAGTTTACGTGCACTCCGACTATTCGATCAAGGATATTTTAGGTTGTTAAGTTCCACCAGCGCTTAGGTAGATTGAGAAGAAATCACTCTAAAATTTTAACATACATTCATATATTGTCAAGGGCATAGCTAGAGTATAGTGTTGGTGAAATTATAAGTAATCAACAGTTGAAAAATAATTTGAAGAAAATTAAATAAATATTATTCAAGCTTAGGCGCGGATATCTCACTCTCTTTAAAGAGATTCAAGCCCACTACGATAGTATCTTCACCAGTCCAACAGTAATACTCTTGACTTGTCCCCTCCGGGATACAACAGTCCGACGACGTCGTATGACTCGAACAAACTCTGGACAAGTTGTTGAGTCCAAAGCTCCTCCAAAATGAACAAATTCCTTCAACAAAAATAATATTCTCTTTTGTAGAGAATAAGTTGGAGACTTAGATTTTCTCCTTCTATTAACTCTCTTTTTCACTAACATCAACCACACTTTTTACATGCACCCTACAACATTTTTCTCATACGAAACACAAGGAAGTAACGCCACTATTTATAGGTGTAGAATCTCTTCCATGAAATAAATAATAAAGTAGTGGGATAATAAAATCGCAGAACATGGTTGGTGGTTACAAAATTTAATCTTTAGTGGGTAATTAGTGGTTTCATGAGTTACAACAAAGCAATGACAACCATTACCTCACAAGAAATAATGCATTTAATATTATAATTTTAATATTAAAATGCACTGACACCAACATATAGTTTAGTGATTCGACCGAACTCAATAGCTTTAGTACAAAAATTGTACATATTTTAAATTAATTAAATATGTACAAAATAGTAATAATTTAAAATAAGATAACTTAAAAAAATTAAAATTCTAAATCCATAAACTTCAAATTTTGGCTCGCCACGGTGGTGTGTTGCTTCATATACTCTCATCGCTTGAAAAAATTGGATATACCATTCTACCAAGATCATCCGTACACGATCATTAATAACGGTGAACAAATTATGTTAATCTGTTTTGAAAAGTCAGTTCGATTCAAAATTGATAACTAATTAATTTCTAGCCGCTTTCTACGACCATCGACTCCATTTTGACTATAGATGGCTTTTACACCTTTGATTCTTTTTTCCTCTTCTTGGAATCCAGCTATTTTTGGCTTTAGGAATTGTTCAACAATGGACTTAGCCATCTTTAATTCAGTGTCAATTCTAAATCGAGTTGAAGGTACAAGGAACCAATCCAATTTTAGCTTTTAATAATTCTTTATCTACCTTAGCCGCTAAACCAACAGGGGTAAACGAAGAAGTAACATGGATTCCTCTTAGGTTCCTTCTTCCTTCATCTTCCTTTGTTATTTTGCTTTTAAAAGCCTACCAATGACTTAAAATTATCTCCGTATGACTTATAAATCACGAATTTGAGTCGTGAAGTCAATTATTATCGCTTGTGTCAAGGTAGATTGCTTACATAATACTTGCTTGAGGTGTGACCCCTTCTCAGAACCTTGCATGAATACGGGTAACTTTGTACTTCGGGTTGTCCTTTTAAGACCTACTACGTGATTTTCCCTTTGCCTTTTCTTTATGTTCTTGGATACAAAATTCGCACAAAATGATAAAAACAAACGGAAAAGGGCCAAAAATATCCTCGAACTATTCGAAATAGCTCAAAAATATCCTCCGTTTGTTTTCGGTGCCAAAAATATCTCTGCCGTCTATGTTTTGGACCACAAATCCCCCTAAACGGTTAGTCTTGACATTGAAGCTGACATGGCTGTCCAATTAGGTTAGATTTGCTTACATGGCCATCCACCTAAGCAATCTAGCATGACAAAACTATTTTCTCGGAAAAACTATTTTTCCAGAAATTTTTATTAAAATACAAAATCAACATTTATTCCGAAAAAAGTAAAAAATATTCAGAAATTATTTATTTCGGATTTTTTTTATTAAAATACAAAATCAACACTTATTCCGAAAATAGTAAAAAAATTCCGAAAAAATTGATACTTAGAGCAGAGGTTATTGTCCATAATAAGTGAAACTATTATCATGAAAAAATAAGACAAATAACCTGCTATAATATGTGAAATTACGCTAATAGCATTAAAAAAAAGTACTGACTGGAAATAGAAGAAGAATTTGCTTAAGTATTTTATACACAGGATTTGTTTCGACAACCTTGGGGAATTTAAGAGCTTTTATTTTGACATTGGTAAATGGAAACAAAAGGAATGAACACCTAGTATCAACTCTGTTTTGAACCTGAAAAACAAGAGAATTTAGACTTCACAAAGTGCATATGAGTAAAAGTTCCAGATATGATGGAACTCTCTTGAACTAAACCAACTAAACAAGTACATAACATGAGAAGAATAAAAATAGACTTTATGTTGTAAGGAGAATAAGAACATATCCCAGTACCTGAATACTGAATAGCAAGATGGGGAGTAGTGGCTACACTTGAAACAAACATCAACTTGATCTTCACTGTCGATACCTGCAGTTTCTTCGCTAATTGCCAGCATAAAAATCCTATAGTGATATCTCTGTTATCATCAGCATTGGCTTCATAAACAGCTCTTCATTTCAGGCTTGAAAGCCACCTATGCTTTTGGAGCAACTTCAGCTGTAGAGTATAGCCATCTATTTCCAGACATGAAATCCTCATCTGGCAATGAGCACATTCACAAGTAAGAATTTTTTAAAAATAAATAAATAAATCCAGGGGCCTGAAATGAGGACACTGAACGTTGACAAATCCTGAAAATCATGGAATGAATGAGCTACTAACAATTGAAAGGTTTAGAAGTTGATTCTTCTACTTATTCAGTTGGGACAAGGTTTATATGGTTGTCCTCCCTTCTCACTGTATTGTTTCCTCTGATTCAAATAGAATTTGTAAGATATTCTTCCAAATTCTTCTGCAATTTGAACTATCTAAACTTAATCCATAGAACACTATCTTTATGAAACAAGAGAATCAAGCTTTGTCGATGAAACAAAAAAATCTCTCTGACTACCACAAGTTCACCAGTAACATGCATGGGTATGGAGAAAACTGTAAAGTTTCACAAGTCAAAAAATTTCATAAGTCACTTCTATGGGTTGCTCAATAACGACTAGAAAAACAAGGATTTCCTACTTCTATTGTCCCTCTTTTTCCCCCTAATTCCCCACTGGGTGAAAGATAAAGAATATCAAAGAGGATTTAAAGTTACTGACATCAGATAGACAGGGCTACATAAGTGAGAGTAAAGATAAATTTGCTTTAGCTCCTGTAAATCAGGGCAAAGTTAAAAACCCATCAAGGCTCATAGAGTTTTAAGATCTAATACATGAATGTTAAGATAAGCAACCTAAGAGAATTAAACTTCTCTACCTTCTAATTAGAAAGAAGTTGACTCAAAAAACTGGTGACTGAAATCTTCAATAGCTTGTTAGCCGGTTCATGCATTTCATGATAATAAGACAGTGATGAAGAAGACTACAGCTGTTCCAAGATTTTTGATTAGATGCATAATCTGGCAAGCATCCTACAAAAACCATTGCACTCGCATGGTTAGTTAAGAGTTCCGATGAGAATTGACATGTTTCCTGCTTGTGGTTAATGTTTAAATCCAAATACAGAGTGATCTATGTTCAGCCTGTTCCAAAATAATCAAAGAAACATGGAGCAACAAACACAAATTTAGACTGTTAAGGAGTTCTGCAACAGCAAAATGCACAGGTAGAGCCTTAGAAGCAACGAATTAGAGATAATGGAAAAGAATAACAGACTTTATCATTTAATCTCAATCAATTTGAACTGCACACAGACTACACCACATACATCTAGTAACAAATCAATGAATTTAAGGTAAAATTCTACGTTTAAATCTCCATCCTGCCGACTATTGCTAGACTCCTGCAGGAATGGTAAAATTTAATGGACATTTCGGCGAATTATTTGAGGGACTCCCTGAAGGGACCTCAATTGATGAGTCAATTATACGATCAGAACCACCATCAATCGTAGAGCTTATAGCAGCTACACTTCCTTCTACCTTAAATATCTCTTCATCAGCAAAATAAGATGTCATTTCATTCTCCATTTCCTCATAATCATCCTCAGACCAGTATCCAAAGGAATCATCTTCAGATACACAACTCCAATCTTCCGAATAATAGGCCAATTCATCATCACTCTCAGTAATCAGGAGAATAGAATCAACTACATTTATATCTTCGACCTCCAGTGGCCGTTCAACTCCTTCATCATCAATCAATCCCTCAACAAATGGATGATTCATCAGCATCTCGGCGGTCCATCTATACCTAGGGTTCCTCACGAAACAACCCTTCAAGAAATTTTTTGCCTCCTTCGATAAGTTGCCTGGAATTTTAGGCAATTCGTGTCCTCCCCCAATCTTTTTAAGGACATCCTCAGCATCCATATCTTCTTCTCTATCCCATGGAGGTTTTCCAGTTAACATCTCAAGCACAATACACCCTAAAGCCCAAATATCAGCAGGACACTCTTGCACGTTATCTGAAACAGCTTCTGGCGACAAATACATTGGAGTACCTCTCCAGTAAGGCTCCAACCTCCTCTTCTTGCTCTGATTTTCTCTTTTAGCCAACCCTAAATCACCAATCTTTGCCCTAAATTCAGCACCACTACCCTCGCTCGAATTCGGCACGAGCAACACATTATCAGGTTTCATATCACAATGAACATAACCAATTGTATGAATAAAATGCAACCCTCTAAGCATAGATCTTGTATAATTCCTTACCTCAAATTCGGACAATCCTTTGATTCCGGATTTCTTGATCCTCTCAGCTAGGGTTCCACCTGAACCATACTCCAACAACAAGTTATAAACCATTGCACCATTTTGACCTGTGGTAGTCTCATCACCAAAGCATCGAATTATATAAGGACAACCCTTGATGTTGTTCAAAACCTCCCTTTCCTTTTGAATTGAACCTGAAACTGAAACCTCAGCAGATTTCACAGCCATAACTGCTGGAAAGTAGCTGTTTTTCAATCTAGGATTCTTCAAAGTAGCCAAATAAACACAACCAAAACTTCCTTTTCCTACCATTGCTCCTCTGTACCATGCAACCCCATCTCCAAATTCATTCACACTCATCTTCCCTTCAACTTTTTAACTAAATTTTCCTTCTTTTTCCTATATAATTAAACTACAATTTGGGACTGAATAAGATTAGGGCTATCTTAAAAGGGGAAAATACCAAACTAGAAGTTGAATTTTGGTACGTATAACACAGGGGAAGGAAATTAGGGTTTATAGGAACAAGTTGGGGCAAGGTTGAGTTTATTCAGAATTTCACATTTAGGTTAGTTATTTATATAAAATATACTAGTATATATGAGGAGGAAGAGTGGTGAGAGCCGCGTTTTCTTTGAACATAAAAGAAGCAAGTTGGCAAAAATGCTGCTAACTGGAATAACGGTCATGTGGTCTTTACAACGTATGATAAATTTAGGGCATGTGCCCTTTCTTTTACACATATTAAGGTAATAGTTTTAACAAGTCTATGAGAATGTACTAAATAGGGTAATATATTCATCTGCTTTCAATGCAGAACTTGGAAATGAATGGTGATTATTTTGATGGATATTAAATAATGGCAATATATGTCACCATTATTTATCACACTACTTTAGGCAAAAACTAAAATGGTTGTGACTTGAGAGGTTGCATGTGGCCTCTTTCTTTTTTTCTTTTTAACGACAGTAGAATTTTGGTCAGTTAGGCACTTCGACTATTTTGCCAACGTGTAACTTTACATGAGCGAAGCTGAGAATTATCAGTTAAGCACCTTTGGTAACAAATATATTGTATATATAAAGTAAATATTACTTTTTCACCGTTAGTAGCTCGTGCCTCTTTCTGAAAGGGAAGACGGAAAAAGTAAAAGGATTATTTAACAGTTTGTTTGGATGTTTGTTATGTATCCTATTGTATTGTACTCAGAGGCGGATCCAGGATTTAATGTTTATGGGTTCTTGCAATGATTTCGAGTAAATTTTCAATAGTAATTGGGTTCACATTTGAATATTTATAGATATTTAATGAATTTTTAGCACACATTTACACTGTTTAGACAAAAGCTACTGGGTTTACGGGAACCTGTAGAGGACATGCTAGATCCGCCCCGGATTGTACTGTACTATACTGTATCGTCTTGATATATATAATGTTTGGATAGATTGTATTATTTCCCGTCGTTTCATAATGTTACGCACCAACAATATGAAGAATAAACTTGCAATATTATAAAGAAAAACTAAGCTAAGAGGTATTATTATATAAAAGGGTATAGTAAAAGATAAAATATATATTTTTAATAATAAAAAAGAGTAAGATGAGAGGGAAAAAAAACGACGCGAACACACCAAATTGGTCGTTCCATAAAGTGGCACTTTCCGTCGTTACGTAGCGACATATTTAACGGTACGATACAATCAAATTTAAGTAACAATCAAAATAAACATTGTATTTAAAGTAACACTACAATACAATACAACATGTAACAATCATCCAAACAAGCGGTAAATTATCAAATTATGCTAATTCAAAATCGGCATTGTTTGGTATCTAGAAGTGACATAACTTAATCTTAAAGGATAGATGTTTTCATCTTTTTATTAAATCAAAAGTTTTTACTCCTTACGAGCTATATTGCAGAAATATATTATGGTGATTATTTACATCCCTTGCACGTCTCCTCTTATTCTTAGTTCAAGTCCCATACAATTCCCTTTTGCAGGTTGATAACACTATATTTGTGAAATATAAAGATTTAAATACACGTAAGTAGCACGACATTAAGTTTCAAATGACTTTTAATTACACTTAAGTGTCCATAAATTAAAATTTAATTTAATATGATGTTTGTGACGTTAGAGAACAGTGTACATTGAATTAGTATGTTACTAGTAGTTCTTAGATGAAGTGCTAATAAATGTTGCCTAAGCGACAACAGAATTTTTTTTACTAACTTAATTGTAATGTTATAGACCATGATTAGCTGTCTAACGAGGAAAAACCCATTCCACAAGATACCTTATAAGGAAAAGGTTGGAAATGAACAAATGAAGCCAGATCATATATATCATTATTAAATTAAAAATTGAGCACTAGTGCAAAGGTTATTTCGAGATCCGATCACCGACCAAAACCGGTGATATCAAGTCCTTAATCTGGAAATGACACTAGGTAGCCACTTTAAAGTTTAAAGAGCTGCTATTTAGAAATTAGCCAAATATGTCCTGAATTTCAGATTTTTAGTCCAATTTTTCAAGATACAAATATTCTAATTTTTTTTGGAATTAAGAGTTTTAGTTCAAATTTTTAAGATAAAATAAGTACTGGTTAATCCCTAAATAGCAGCCCTAAGAATAATTGTTTGTGCACCTCCCCCGTCTTTAAACATTGAAGAATTAGCTCAAATAGCTGCCTACCTAATGCCTTAAACTAAATTTAGCTGAAGAATATATAATATATGTAAAATTCATGTACACTGTATGCATAATTATTAATTATATATATAATCTATGTATATCGGCCAGAAAAAAATAAGTAAATCTGGACGACTATTTGTATAATAATCCCTTAAAACATTAGAGGCCCAATATAAAGACTGAGTAGTTGGGCTAAGGGTTGAGACTTGGCCCGTACATAAGGCCCAAATTACTCTCATGATTTAAATTTCAGAACGGCTTTTGATTCGATTCCAGAATTGAGGAACGAAAAATATGGACAAAATGAAGAAGAAGAAACAGCAGGATGATCCAAAAGGTGGAAATGCGATATTTATGTCCGTATCACCATTGAAAGCTCTTATTCTGCATCTGATCTGTGGAGTAGGGTTAGGTTTAGCTTTCTGGGTAGCTGAACACATCTACGCCGTCGATCTCATCACTCACCCATCGCAAACGCTTCGTTTGATTTCTGTTTGTTTCTCTCAATCCGCAAGCATTATAATATACTTCACATTCATTTCCTGTTTATTTTCTTTTTTACATGTTCCTGATTTTGATTCGAATTTAGTTTTTCAGGTGTTTGTGGCTCCAATAGTGATTCTTCTTTACAGTCACCTTCGACACGATAGGAGCCAATGCTCTGTAATTCTAATTCTATTTGCTACTTCTTTTTTATTGAATTTTTATTTCAATAGTTACATTTTACACACTTTTTGCTGTAATTTGATTCGAATTATTTCTGGCTTCTCTCAGTACGTCAAAGCTATAGGACGAGGCCTACTGGCGCTTCCTGCTGGTTAGTTTTTGTTATAAACATGTTCTCCTTACTAAACTTGCCTCCGCGGTTTTGAGACATATTATCAATATTATTTGTCAAAGGTTTATCTATTAATATGTGTGAATTATGTTATATCATGTTTGTAGGGGCCGTAGTAAATGCAGCGGGAGCTACTATATTAGGAGCACCTGTTGGTTTCGAGTATGTAATGCTGTACATGTGCTTCGAGCCATTTATAAGGATACTGAATTGAAGCCATAGTTGAGGTTGGATGGGAAAATAGATGTGATGACAATGTCATTGCCTGATCATCAGGCATGTTAAGTGCTCTTTGGGTTTCACAAAAACTCCAGAGATTAGTAATTAAGACATTCTATTAAGATGCTTTTATTTCTCACACCGGATTCCAGTCTGAGCTTTTGTCGATTAGGAGTCACTTTGTCCTGTCCTGTCCAACCTCAACTGGGATTATGTTAATACGAATTATAATGGTTTTCTGTTACTTTCTCTTTGTTATAGCTTCTGAAATGCTGTAGTTCTTATGCTAAGTAGTCTTTGATCCTGTCTTATCACAGGTGTTTTCCCAAGACCCTTAATTGGTCTCTTCTGATGTCACTGCTCACTGTAAGTATTAACTACTAAGACGTACTATTTACTGCTTGAAAAGATTTCTCTGGCTTATAAGCTACAGGGGGATATTACAACAGTTGTAGTTTAGTGGATTCATCTCATGGTTACAGAAAATCTGGTCGAAGTCTTTAAGAGAAAAAAAGAAAAGAAAAGTTAGCAGGGAAATCCTGGGAATTATCACATTCAGAAAGCTGACAAAATGATAGGATACTTTGACTACTTAGATCACACATTAATGAGATGTAGCTTTGATATTTTATCCTTGTTCTTTTTTTCTCCTATGGTGTTTAGCTGTTTTATTTATTTTCTATTCTTTTCTGGGATAAGTAAATTTAATAAATGTTGGTTTGGCAGTTTGTACCAGCAGCTTGTGTTTTCGGCTCATCATGGACTGATTGGCACCGTGTATTTGCTAAAACAAAGTAATTTCCATTTCGTCATCCTTGGCCATTTAATATTTTATATCTAAGAGCTGTGCTAGAGCTCATTTGGCATGTTTGTTCTTGCAGGACAAATGGGTCCACAGACTGTATGATCTGTCTACCAGCTCATGGAGCTGTTATTGGAGCGTGGTTTGGTGCTTGGCCAATGCCACTTGATTGGGAAAGCCCATGGCAGGTATGTTACCTAATTGTCACGGACTCAAGGTTCACGATATAGAGATTGTAGTCCATTTTATGGTGCAAATTTTTTTTGAATTTCAAATGCCTTAATTGCATTCACTAAAGCTTCAGTAATCCACCGTACAATCTTTTGATAGTCTGGCAATAGAAAGATATACATAAGTTGCTCAGCATGCCCTTGTTTATATTATACTCTCTTTTAAAATAGTCTTCTCTCTATTCTTTTTAAGAAAAATTGAGCCACCTCAATGAACCTTGCACACTTTAATGAACCTTGCACATATAAAAGTAGGATACACAGGCAAAGCATCTGATATCCAATCCTAATTATCCGTGGTGGTGCATTTAGTTAGAAGAAAATAGAGTTTTTCAAGGGGTGGATACGAACAGAAATCAATCAAATATTGAAGCTCTTTTTTTGTGCTCTCTCTTTGGATTTGTTTGATAGCATGAGGGTTATATGAAGTTGTTTGTCCTGTTTACTTGCCATTCTTTTTACGCTTCCTTGGAGAGGGTTCCCACTTCATCGGTGCCCAGATTAGTATCAGTGACCCTTATGGAAGACACACACACACACACACCTGCTGGAAACCTGTTTATGTTGCTCTGGAAATCTGCTAAATGATGTTTTTAGAGAGACTAAGCTAATAGATCATTTACCTTAATAAGGTATTAAATCCTGCTATATCAATATGAATGCAAAAGATAAAGTGATCAAAAAGAGAGAAGAGAAAAGGTCGGCACTCTGTGGCCTCTTTTCCGGGGTGAGATCAGATTGCATTGCTATCTGTAAAATTCTTCACTCGAGTAAGGGCACCACTTTTAAGTGTGCTTTGTGAACAAGATCTCCATGTGCCATGCTAGGATTATTAATAAACTAAAACAGCTCGTGTTATATCCCGATTCAAGGAGTTCCCAAGATACCCCGCCCAAAATCATCTGTTTTTCAGTCACGTTGTTTCACCTTTTGGTGTTAAGCCCTCCTGTTGTGTTTTTGTCATGTGAGTATACACGTCCATTACAGAGATATGGAATTTGATTTCTTTTTCTTGCTTACGGTATGCTTGTATAAATAAAAATAAAAGCTAATTAATTATGCCACAAAATGAGTGCATCTTCCATCAAAATAACATTTATACTGGGTATGTTGTTGTTGCTCCTCGCTCAAAAAATTTATCAAACTAACAAGGGTTGTGGTGGAGTGGTAAGTACTCCTTCATCCTTAACCAGAGGTCTCGAGTTCGAGCCCTTGGGTATGGAGTCGCCTTTTTTAGGGAGCGCTTTACCCCCAATGTGGGACTTCCCGGCGCGAATCCGGATTTGTCGGGCCCCAATGTGGGTACCAGATACCGGATGAGAAATAAATTTTTTTTTATCAAATCTTACATCATTTATATGTGTTAGATAAATGGAAACAATAGCAGTTAAGGCGAAAAAAGAAAGAGGGAGGCAGTTTTATACCAAGAGTTTGTCAAATTTGGTTATATCAATTTGTGTTTTAGTTCCAGTTATCTCTTGGTAATTTTTTGTATCTTAGATGTGCCAACTAGTAGCTGGTGCATGCAGCTTTGCTTGATTAATCTGCATTTTCTTCCAGTTAAAAGGGCCACGATTATTAGAGACTCACTGGTTCCATTGGTGCTTGAATGCTTATTCCTCCAAACTATGTATTTTCTCTCCCTAGGTTTTAGAAGTGGCAGCGGACATACTTTTTATATTTTGGTTATGCGCTTCTGAAAAGATTGGTTTTTTCTATTTTGTGGACCTCTCAACGGGATTGGAAAATGTTTTAGTAAGTTGTTTGTTCTGATTCATGGACAATTGGTATTTTCATGCAGGAATGGCCTATTTGTGTGACTTATGGAGCTATAGCTGGTTATCTCGTGGGGCTTTTGGCATCCTTGGGCTGCATTTTCTTCCGTAAGCGCCAGCAGTATCTAAAAGAAGAGTAGAGCCTGGCTTCTGAGAATTAGCCGTGGAAGGCGCTTGATGCTAATAATAGTCTTGGGACGAAGTTAGGCCTTTGTTACTCAACTACATAGCAATATGATATCCAATTTTGCTCTCTTTCTATATTCAGTATATCTTTCTTCTTTTTCTAGAGTGTAGTCCATTTCTTTTGGAGTAAATTCTTTAACACATTGTGAAAAGACAAGATATCTAGCATTTTGTTTCTGTTAACTTGGACATTATGGATTTGTAAGTTCAACCACTTGTACAAGTCTCTCTGGACATTCGGGTTACTACTTACAAGTTGCGACACTTATGCTCTCTCTTATTTATGCTTTCTAATGAATATTCCTTTTTGCTCTCGCAAGATTGCTTTTATTCTATTAATGCACATCATTCGCCATCTTATTGCAATCTCTACCTGGACTTCAGAGTTGGGACCTAATTTTTGTGGGGTCTCTCAATTTATTCGTACCCTTACCTGTGTTGAGAAGAAAGAGAAACACGTCTCTTGTTCAGGATTTGTTGAGATTCCTAACGATTTTCAATTTTACTTTTTTCCTGTTTGAAGCGAAATCTCTACCTTTCTTGTCTTCTTTTGCCTTTTTTAGTCTTAACAACTATTTCCAGTAAAACCACTTGGTTGAAATCTTTTCCAAAAATCAAACCTCGGCGAATTTTACCTCTTAGAAAAAACAAGATGTTATCTACACTATAGTTTTGATAATCCACTCAACCCCCACTTCCCTTAGCAACGAGACTTGACAGTGGACGTAAAATAGACACGAGGGTTGTGACATCTCACTGCTGACATTGTAAATATAGTAATAGTGTCCTAATTCGCTTTGTGCGGTGCCATGGATAATCATTTTTTTGTGAAGTAGGGCCATGACCAAAGACTTTGTCTTTGTGTTTGTCTTATCTCCTTTTGGATTTTCTTGTTCTTTCTCTAGAATTGCTTCTTTTCCCTTCCTTTTAAACCATTATTATAATGCGAAAGGACACTCACATAACTACCCAACTATTAATTTGACCGATATGGTATATCTAGTGACCCTTCTTTAGCAACAAAAAAGAAAAAAAAAGTGACCCTTCTGCTAGAACGAAGCGAAAATAAGCTGTCAAATTCAGCTCATAAAATTATAATTTGTCCAACTTGTTCAAAATTAAGCGGATTGGGTGAGACATTTATGCAACGTAAGGTCAATTTGAGCTTATTCCAAGTTAGCCAGTCTAAAAGTTTAGGTCAATTTGGCAGTCTATCTTAGCTCAAATTGTGCCTAAATCAACTCATAACAAGATTAATCAAAACATAAAACATACTCCATCCGTTTAAATTTGTTAAAACCTTTTCGGAGTATGTGAGTTAAATTTATTAATTTTTAGTGTGAAGTTGGATATAGATTCTCCAAATTTTTTGAAATAAAATTTTTATATTTAGAAATCACATAAAAAGTACTATAAATTGCAATAATTAACCATTTAAAATATTTTTTTTTTTTTTTTATAAAAAATAGTCAAAAATAATCTTGTTTGACATTCAAATAGTAAAAGATTTTATTTTTGAAACAGAGGAGTAAGAGCCCGTTTGACTTAGCTGATTTAGAGTAGCTGATAAGCATTAGGTGTTGAAAAGCACTTTTAAGTGTTGAAGCTGATTTAAAAAATAAGTAGTTACATGTTTGGATAAAAGTGCTGAAATTAATAATAAGCAACTGAAGAACTAGCATACGAAGAGTTTTGTTTTAAAAAGAAGTATTTTAGGAATAGAATAGTAAATATTTTGGTAAACCTAAAGTGCTTATAAGCTGAAATTTGATAAGTTGGGGGAGACCAACTTATGATTTTTGGCTTATAAGCACTTAACTTATAAGCACTTTTAATTTTACCAAACGCGTAAATAAGTCAAAAAGTGCTTATAAGCCAATTTAACCAGCTTATAAGCTTAGCCAAACACCCCCTAAGTATTTAAAATTTGGCTGGTTAAGTACAATCATGATAACAAACTAAAAGACTTTCTTAATTTGGTTAGTAAGTAAACAAATTATAAAAGAAAAAATAAAGAGATCAAAAAGAATTTAAGCTAGACTATAGGGTTAGTACCAACTATTTAGATCGAATTGACTCGTTCATTTTGACCAAAGATAATTCTAAACTTAGCTATGATCAAATTGTTTACTAATAATTTAATCAATTTTAATTTACAATTTATTCCAACTCACATTTTAAACGCCTTAAATTAAAAACAATAGACAGTCTAAACAGCATTACCTAGGTCAGCGTTCTAATTACGCCAATGTTATATTCGAATTTGCTTCTAACTCCAAAACTACCCTCTCATTTTAACTTGGAAAGATGAAAAGCTCATAAGTATATTAAACGATGCCACGTCAGCTATGAAGTTCAAGCCACAAGGTAAGCTTTTTCGAGTCCACGTGTCATAGAGCAAAACAACAAATGGTCCCACAACCGAAGCCTTTAAAAACTCTTATATAGAGCCCCTATAAGCGCCAAAACGCACACACCACCCTCAAACCCCAAACACCGCACCCTACCACCACTCTCTCTTTCTAAAAACCCCCTCACTCACTCACTCTCTCTCTAATTTCTTACTTTCCAAAATTTCTCCGATCAGATACAAATCATCACCGGTACGAATTCTTCTAAGCCGATGGGCCAGCTCGTATCGATTTCATCTATCTTCATAACTTTTGAATAAATCTTTTGTTTTAATTTTGATTTTTTTATAAAAAAAAAAGAATATTGGTTGAGTTGGGTTGGGTTTGTAATTAGTGACGGAGATTACGTGTTGCGATCAGTTCCCTATGGTGCAGAGTCAGTAGTACTGTTTGGATTGTTGCAAGTTGCCACTTTTGTATTTGTTGTTTGTTCATTAAGGTTGTCCTTCCGTTATTGAGTTCTCATAATAACAAAGAGGATTTTATGGGTGTCTGTTTTCTCCATTTTCTGGGTTTCACTATTCTTGAGTGCCATGTGATGGAATCTAGGGTTTATAACGCCCAAGAGCAGGCAATAGAATAGTTTGTTTGTTATGCATACAGGTTGATTTTAGTACGTGTGGGTCCCTTTTTTTTGGTTGTAATTTGGGCGTTTGATGATATGCTAGAACTTCGTGATTTATATTTGTTTTTGTCCCTGGAGGCTGGGGTTGGGATCACATTACATGTAGTCTACTGCTCTAAGTAGTTAGCTTTTAGTTTCCGCGATTGGCATATCAGAAACTTGCTTCGCGTATGTCTCAGTGTTGAATAGCGATCAATCAAAAAAATATATAAAGGGAGACTTAATTCAGTCTTGATCAATGAAGATAGCTCAAGAGTTTTGGCAGTCTTTGTTCTCCGGTTTCTCTTTAGTATTTTATGCATTTTGTCCCCATTTTGTGGCCTTTCGGCTGTGAACTTTGATGTAATTTCATTTTCTGTGTATTCGCAGCTGGTTCATCTTGTTTTATTGCTGTGCCAATCTGGTGATAATGTGATTGTTCTTATCTTTATTAGCGGTGGAATCTATATGGTTAAAAATTATTATGGTTAAACTTGCTTTCCTCAAGTATTTTGTGATAGTATCACATATTGGTCTTCCAACTATGATGTAATTGCATTACTTTGATATTGTTGAATCTGTTTCATTAGTTTTATTTTTGAGCCAATTGGAAGCAAATGTGATTGATTTGACCCTTCTACAATGGAAGTAAGTTGGCTCTTCGAATTGCTCACATCAAAATACTCTAGGTTCTTTGACACCAAAGTGGACCTCTCCCCCACCCCCAATGGAAAAATATTTTCAATCAGCTAATCTCGAGAATAGTTTAGAAGATCTTTTTTCTATGTGCATGGGTGGATGTAGAATTCAATCTAGGGGATCATCTAAACCCGTTGGCTTTGGCTCGGGCCTTGCATATATTCTTAATAATTTACAAGATATGTGCAAATAATTGATTCGAACCCAGTAAAACAAATGAGTTGTGGTAGAATCCCGAACTCAAACTCATAAGGTTCAAATCCTGAATTCGCTTCTATCTATGTGCAATTATAGATGTAGCGTTGGTAGGAAGAATTGAGGAACATTTAAGTATAATCGCTTTATGCTTTTCTTTCTCTTTGTCGTCTCCTCTAGTTTATGAAGTGGTTGTCGTTATGTGAATGGGAGTAGTCAAGCTTACCTTTTGATTTAATTGATCAGATCCAAGTTATTCAATGGGATGTGACAAACCAGAGAACTTGCCAGACCCTACTTCATTTCATGCTTTTGATGATCTTGCCCTCAGCATCAGACAAAGTGGAGCCGTTGATTATAACGGTGTTGTCCAAGGTGGGTTCAGTTCAGGGGCTAATGTCACATCCTTCCCTTTTGTATCTCCGCCAGCGGCCCGTCCTCTTCCAGGAAATGTTAATGAGATGAACAACTTTCAGATGGCCAATTTGAAGAATCTCTACAGCTATCATCACCAGCTTGAAACAAATTTGGCTAATGTTAGAAATATTGCTCCCAGCTTTCCCGCTCCATCAGGAATGCCAAATTCCATGGGAAATGCAGCAGAGATATACCATTCAAATATGAATAACAACATGCTGACCTCCGATAGTTTCTTGAATGAAGCTGTCTTGTCCAAGGGAATTCAGAATCCAGGGGTCAGCATGAATTTTATTCCTATGCGAAGCAATGCAGCTGGATGTTTTGAAAAGGCTGGGAAAGCCACAGGTATTAATCAAAATAGCTCGCAGGCAAGTGGAACTCCTTTTGACATAAGGTATAGCATGCAGACTGCTAAAAGTATTAGTGGAATAGGAATTCATAATGATGTCAAGGCCAATCCTGTTCCTTTTTCTTCCCCAGAAAACATTGATGGTAGTTTTCTGACCCTTGGAACAGGAAGTAACATAGATAATAGATCAAAGTTTAGATTCAGTGCCAAAGAGGTCAGCAGCAGACTGGGGGAAGCTGTCTTGTCACAAAGTAACAACTCTCATGTCCAACAAATGAAAAGAAATATCTCAAGTTTAGCTCATGGTGTTCCTGGTGGTATTCCAAATTTCAATCGTGATAGTGGTGGTTTGCCAGATTCAGCCAGGAATTTCGGTGTTTCAACCTGCTCTTCAAACAATGATGAAATTGTGCTTGCTCCAGGCTCTAGAATAACTGCACCTCCATGTGTTAACTTAACGCCAGACACGCGACTTAATTCTTCTAACAGCACAAACTTAGGTGCTGTTGGTAAAGCTGATCTAAGACTCTCTGAACCTGATCCCTTCAAGTGCGTTCAAGGTGGTTTGCCTCCTCCTTCATTTCCATTTAGCAGCAGTTCAACATTACCCCTTCATCTTGGATATGCTAGAACGGTGGCAGCTCCTGAATCTGCTCAACCTGTTTGGGTGGCAGCTCCTGAATCTGCTCAACCTGTTTGGGTAGCAGCTCCTTTATCTGCTCAACCTGGTTTGGTAACAGCTCAACCAACTATTAAGCAGCAGAGTAACTGTTACACAAACATATCCAGGAACCAATCTTTCATGGAACCTCTTATTCTCGGTCATGGTGGCAGCGGAGTGAGGCAAGACCATTTAGGTGTGTTTATGAATTTCTATTTCTGTTTCCTGAATTTACCAGTTATCAAGTTATCCATTTTGTAGTTTACCACTATAGCTTATGCTGACAGTTGATTATGACTGGATTTCTTGATCCTATTTTCTTTAGTAGAAATTTATCATTATGGTAGACAATGACCTTTCTTTTCTAGGATAAGCAGCCTGCTGCACAAGGCATCCCGCGTTCATGCAGGATACGGGATACGGGGAAGGGGTGCGACGTAGTCTTTCTACCTTGATATAAGCATTCGTGGCTGATTTCACAGCTCGAATCTGCAACCTATAGGTCACACGGAGACAACTTTACCGTTGCTCCAAGGCTCCCCTTCTCTTCTTTTCAAGGATGATTAATTTTATTTTGAGGCGAGGGATTTTACCGTATGCGCATGACAACTGAAATAGCTGTTTATCAAAAACAAGAAGAGATCGTTTCTGCTTACCGTGACAGAATTCCTAAGATATTCATGGGTCTACTGGCTCAATTTGTTGTTTTTGTTGTCATATATGGTCTAAGTTGGCAGCTTCCAGGATAATCCTAGGATATGTTTTTGCATCCTTAACCAAACAAACATGACTATGGGCAGTCCATTTACCTCATTTTAAAGAAATTTTACAGGTGAAATTTACTTGACTGATATATCGTCAATCATCGATTTGATAAGAAGTATTATCTCTCTTTTTAAAATACTCTTCACATGGTATCAACTCCTCTACAAGATTCTAGAGATTTAAGTAATTCATTTTCCCGGTAATTGGTGTTATGCCAAGTGTTTCTAAAAGCAAAGAGTGCAAAAGGTGACAAGGTCTGGGCTTGAAGCAAAAAGCTTGAAGTGAAGAACACAATTTACAGATAAATCAAAAAAATACGAAACATATACGAATTTAGTACTATGGTAAATAATAATCATATTGTATTTAAAATAAATATTTCTGCACCCCGCATAGAACTATTCTATATTAATTCAGCTCCTTTTTTGATAAGGATATATTAATCCTTCAAATTTTAGTTTGATCACTTCTTGCTGGAATCACTCTATGCATCATTGTTTGAAGTGCATACTTCTTTAAAGCGCAGGGCTTCGCTCATGAAGTGAAATACGCGAAATATGATAAGGTCTATGGGCTTGAAGTGAAAATCATGAAGAGAAGCGTACAATCTAGTAAAGGGCATATGTCCTCACGGCTACATGCATGACCTTTTTTAGCTTCTCTCATACATTTTTATACTTGTCCTTGTGGATTCTACAAATTGCCTAGTTGTCTAATGCAATCTTATTGACTTACTGTGGTACGTAACAATGTTATGACCAAATTTCTTCAGGTCAGCAATCATTGGTTAATCTTCCGCATCCTTGGGGTAATAACCTATTTCCGGAAAGAATGGGTGCTCATATTGCGGGATGGAGTGGCATCCAACCTGCCCCTGGCAATCTATTTCCTAAGAGGCTAGGTGTCCAGCTTAATGATGGGGTTATTTCTCAAGCTACTCGAGAAGGTGTTCTTCCCGGGATGGGAGGCATCCAGCAAATTAGAAAGGGTAAATCATGTTGAACTATTGTGGCATGCACTTGTACTTATTTGCTAAAAAAAGGATATCATATCTTCTTTAAGAATGAGTTTATCGGATAAAAAAAGATGCCAAAAATATATTAAGCTTCCATGAAAATTTTGGTTAGGCACTGCTGAGGAAAAATAATGTGGCAGATGATGATTTATAGCTTCCATCAGTCATAGCGGTTGAACTTCATTTATAGCTATTTGGACTTGCTGAAATACTGAGGCAGATTAGGCTGTGTTAGATGGATCTTTAATATGATTTGACGTACCCATGTTGAACAGGTGTTGTATTGTGTGTGGATTCTTCAGAATACACTAAAACCAGAAGAAGAAAAATGCACCTTCTGCAAATACTTGCACTGTCCATATTGGATATGTACTCATTAGCGAATCCATGGAACTTTGAGATCAGAACATTGTGCAGCTCGAGTTTACAATTTACCTTTTGTCTAATGCTTTTCTCATTTTTTGTTTTTTTCGATGGCAATAATTTTGTAGGTAACTCATATCAGTCTCGAGATCATGGACCTACCATGCACCCCACTGGACTTCTTCACCCCCCTTTGGCTATGGGTATCTGCTAACTTTGTTCATATCAGATACATGCTCCAGTTTGTTTTTCTATGTATTCAAAGTGATCTGACCTCTGCATAACATCTGAAGAGATTGTTCTGATGTCGTCTAGGTCAGCCTCATGGTGGTTCAGCGGCTAAGTATAATGTTACTGGACTACCCTATCATGCTGGTACGCCACATACCCTTTCTAAGGAATTCTCTTTGTTGGTTATTTTATTGACAATGTCTGTCATTTGCATCTTTGGTGGCGCGCACTTTATAGTGCCAAAACATGCTGATTCCTGATTTTTGCTCGTTACATTTGCTACACCCAGGTCAAGGCATTCCAATTTCAAAGGTTGATGCAACACCTCAGGCATCGAATATTCATGCCCATGTTTCCCTTAAAAGAAGAGCAAATGGAGCCCCTCCAATTGCTCCGAGGTGTCAGCGAAGGAGAACATTGGCTCAACATAGATATCAACAGTTGATAGCACAGAGGCAGAGCTCTAATGCTCCAGTTCCTGCCTCTTCTCCTTCTCTTCCTTTGACGCATGTAAAGTGCCAAGGTATCTCAAGCTATCACACATCTGTTTTCTGTAATTTTGAAGTGTAATTAATTTGTTAGTCTTTGATCTTCAAGATACTGGTTCTTGTGCTTTCCATTGTAATGTGGTTTGTGTTGTAACTCTCGGAAACAATGCGCAATTTGTTTCTTCACCACGGAAATGTACACGACCTACATTGTTCATTAGCATTTCCACGAGTTCATCCTGGAGGATGTCAGTGTTTTCTTCTCCTGCTCTGACTTGATCAGTCATCTAGCTGTATTATACATGTTGATGTGCTGTATCTCTGTTGTGTCTCTATTTCTTCTGACATCTATATCGCTGTAAATTACAAGTTTTGACACCATAGATGTGACTATAGACGTCAGCTACATGGCCAGCCATGTGCAGGTATACAGTAAGGTACAGATCTAGAAGTTGGATTTGTCATCATCACCTAAATTTCAAGATTAGGAGCTGGGATAGGCTAATAATTGTATAGTTTGATATAGGAGTATATTTTAGTAGTTAAACAGAGAAGTCACTAAACCAAGGCATTGTTGAATATATTCTTAATAAATACTCCATCCTTTTCAATTTATGTGAACTTTTTTTTTAGTCGGTTTAAAAAAGAATGAACTCTTTCTAATATAGAAACTTTTAATTTAGGATTTCAATATCACACTTAATGATAAGCTTTCACAGCCACACAAATGATAAGTCATGTTGTACACTTTCAAAATATTTATAACCTCAGAAATGTTATGGCATGTTTACAACCACAAGTTTCAAAAGTCTTCTCTTTTTCTTATACCGGTCAAATAGGTTCACATAAATTAAAATGGTGGGAGTATCTAATATCTTATCCCGTAGGTGTATCTTATTAGATGATAGTTTTCTAGTACTCTATGCGAATACACACACACAAAAAAAAAGGCGACGACGACAAAAACACAACTAGCCTATGTTTCTCCATTATAGTTGTGGGGAACACACCCTATGTGAATTGAGCAAATCTGGTATGTATTCCCCACACACTGGCGGAGGCACCCTTGTCCAAGGGGTGTCCCTTCGTCGGAAATTTTTAGGTAAAAATTGTTATTCATGTTTATATACTTATATGTTGAATCCCCTTGTCTTCTTCGTGTATTTACTTCTTTATATTTTGACTTCCCTTAGTGAAAATCGTGGCTCCGCCACTGTCCTCACCCATATCATGTCGGATCTATATGGGTGTTGTTCTTTGATGTATAATAGTCAATCAATTATATGTGCTGTATGGGTGTAGCTCTTTGGTGTATAATGTGCTGAGTGTGTAATGTAATCCACCATCTATTTTTATGTCATTTCTCTTCTATGGTTTATCAATCAGGCTGTCTATATGGCTGTCTACAATGCCTTGTTTCTATTACAAACATTCTATTCAAGGTTCTCTTGCAAACCTACAGATCAATTTTTTTTTGAACTGTAAGTTTGTAGGAGAACCCTTGAATAGAATGTTTGTAATAGAAACAAGGCATTGTGGACATCCATACACACACCTGCTTACAGTCATTGTACCCATTTTACTGCTTAATGTTACTGTTGAAACAGCATTGTAATGTTGGAAAATTTTATCAGATTCTGAAGAATCGGCTCAACAACCCATTGGAGAGAAGTGCCTTTTGTGCAAGAGGGATGTGGCATTCAACCCCGAAGGCCCTGTGTCTCGGCCCGCTGTTCCCCCAGCTGTTGCTGTTCTTCCCTGTGGACACGTATTTCATGACCATTGTCTGCAGATTATCACCCCAGAAGACCAGTCAAAAATTCCTCCTTGCATTCCTTGCGCTTTAGGTGAAACATGATATGATCTGTTTCCTCAATTTTTTTTGGGACGGGAGTGGGGCTTAAATTTTGTAATTTGACATTGCAAAAGACAATGAAAGGGCTCCCAACTTTTTGTAAAGGGTGTGAACAGTATTAGGGTATAGTTCGTGGAACTGTACATATAGGAGGTGGTGACAATAGAGCCCCATGGGTAGAGATTATCCCCATTATGTAAAGTTACATAGAACCTGAGCTTTTGACCCCTGTGAATGACAACTATTAAACTGGAACATCCAAGTTACAGCTGTTTTCTTGAGTCGAGGGTCTATCGAAAATTGTCTCTCTAGCTTTATCAGGTAGTTGCAAGGCATGCGTACACTCTTCCCTCCCCATATTTCATTTGTGGGATTATACTGGGATTATACTGGGGTTTGTTGTTGTTGTTGTTGTTGTATCCAAGTTACAGCTAATCTCGTCAACAATGACTTCTAATTTATTCATGGGGAGTACTATCCATTAGATTTCAACCACTGGATTTTGGTGGATAACTCACCGCAAGTCACTCTGACGAGGATCGGTTCTACAATGAGGAGGTATTTGAACCATTGTCTCTATTTCTACCCATACATTCAAGTGAACTCATATTTTCTTAGGATGGGGTTATAGTCCTTTGTTTCTATGTTGGACTTCTTATTTTTAATTCTTCAATACCTTCCATCCCTTCCAAAGAGTCAATTGGTTTTGTGGCTCTTTACCAACTTGTTTTTAGTTTTATGATCTTACCTTCTTTTTCTTTTTACACATAGGAGATTTATTTTTACACATAAGAAATTTGTCTTTTACACATAAAAGATCTTAAAAGGTCACTTTTTAAATGTTGAAAATTATAAAGGGGCATGATGTATAAATAGCACTGAAAAACCATAACATAAGCACATTTACGTACTCAATAATACAACTCCTCAAAGTAAACTGGTGGGAAATTTGACATGTTGCCATGTGCTGGTATTCTATTGATTCCTCTATAGAGAATAAGCTATTGGCATTAGATGTTCCTCTTTTTATAGCTTTACTAGCATATAATTCTCTTATAGAACCTTGAAAATGTTGTAACATAAACAAGTTGCAACAAAAAAAAAAAAAAAACAATTGCTGGTGCATTCTGAAAATTCACACGTTCAAAATCATGATGAATACATGGGGAAAAGATCCTTTAAAACCTTACACAAGGAAATAGTATCATAAGGCTTCAACAATAAAATAGACCAGGAAAACAATTCAAAATTGAAATGACAACAATTATAAAAAAGGAGAAAAACGACAGTGAGCAATTTGAATGCAAGCTGCCAAACTTAAGCGTGCAAGTTGTTAATCCGAAGGAAAGATAAAAATAAAAAGTTTTATAACCTACAAATCTGCTATACGCCAATCCACTTACGATATTAGATAAAGGTAGATTGATCTTTAAATATAGTTGAGGAAAACTCTATGTCCACTTATCGTCTCCGTGCACAACTCCAACCACTGACGTCAGAACTTTTTAAGTCACCAAGGCATTTATCTCTCAAAAAATGTATTTATAGGCCAAGAATCACATCTAAAATAATCTAAGAAATTAAACAACCATGCTTTATGAAATTAGAAGTTAAATAATCAGTAACATATACGCTTTACATACATCCCCATTAAAATAATACTAATTAAACACCTATTAATGCAATTAATTAGTCTCTTCATTTTTTTCTCACGAGTCACATTAATTCAGATTACATAACTAAATTGTTAATTCTATTTTGGTGTATATATCTACAAATTAAGTGGTTTAAAGAATAAATAATGATAGCTAAGGAGAAAGGCTTTAGGTTAAGGGTAATTTAGTCAATTAGCTTTTGAAGGATATTTTGGTAAAATAACTTTATCTAAAAGTTTTTACACTTATAATATAATATGATTTATAAAATATTAACTTATTAATTTGGAAACATAATCTAAATAATAAAGAGAATAAGCAGGCCTAACCCTTTGGACTAACATTCAGCCCGAACCCGTATATCCTTCTTAGAAAAATAAGGGCGATGTGCACAAATAGCCACTAACAGCACCTGTTTTTATTTTAAAGCCAGTGTTTTAAATGTCTTTAGTCTTTAGTCTTTAGCCACTAGTTTAATAAACTTATACCTGACTGGACGAAAATACCCTTCTGCTATAACTTATACCTACGCTTTTATTAACGATCAGCAGCAGCAGCAGCATCGCTAAATTACTTCACTGTGATCGTCGAAATTGCAGAAGATTCTCTTCCGATTTCAAACTATAGAATTCAACATTCTCATCCAAAAATCGACATAGATTTACAATAAGTTATACTTTTATGTGTTTCTATTGATTTTTATTTCGACATAGTTATATTTTTTCCGATTTTTATACAGTAAGTAGAATTTTTTTTTTGAACTTCTGGATTGATAAAGTTAAAGACATCGCGTCATGTGATAATTCTATAAAAATTGAGCACATAATATTAAGGACATAGTGTCCTGATTTTACAAATTGAATTGAAAAAGTTAAGGATACAATGTCCTTAACTTTGTTGCTGTTCTTCTGTATATTAAGCACATACTGTCATAATTTTGCAAATTGTTTTCAAAAAGTTAATGACACTTGGTCCTGAACTTTGAGTTTCAAGTTGAAAAGTTCAGGACACTTGGTCCTGAACTTTGACTTACATGTTCAATATTTAAGGACAGCTGGTCCTTAACTTACAATTATTAGTTAAAAAGTTAAGGACAGGTAGTCCTTAACTTCAAGTTTCAAGTTCAAAAGTTAAGGACAGGTAGTCCTTAACTTCAAGTTTCAAGTTCAAAAGTTAAGGACATGAAGTCCTTAAGTTTGAATTACAGATTAATTCTATAAAAATTGATCACATAATATTAAGGACTACCTGTCCTTAACTTTGAAAATTGAAACTCAAACTTGGTCCTGAACTTTGACTTACATGTTCAATATTTAAGGAGAGTGGTCCTTAACTTACAGTTATAAGTTAAAAAGTTAAGGACAGGTAGTCCTTAACTTTGGGTTTCAAGTTCAAAAGTTAATGACAAGAGTCCTTAAGTTTGACTTATAGGTTCAAAAGTTAAGGACAACCGTCCTTAAGTTTGAATTCCAAGTTCAAATGTTAAGGACACTTGGTCCTTAACTTGGTCTTGAACTTACAGTACCTGTTCTTAATTATACAAGAATTGCATTATAAAATATGTCATGAGTTTCCCATTCTCTTGACTTGCAGGATGGAAACAATATGCATTATAGTTGCTTTTAATAGTAGATGGACTGAAGACTATAAATATCTTGATCATCAAACAAAGCTTGTTCTAGTACCTGAGGTAATTCAGTTTGAAGATTTCATTAAACAGATCTTTGAAGTTATTGAATTGGATAGACACAAGTTTGAAGCAGTGATATGGTTTGATATCAACCTTGGAACAAACAAGGGAATGCTTGTATCCAAAGATTTAGATCTTCACACATGTATAGAGTTACTAAAAACTCATTCACTCTTCAAGGGCTGTCATTTCATTGTTGATATTTCTGAAAGAGTTTTTGGATCAACAAGCAACGAACATGTCAACACAGAAACTCAACATGACAATCAAAACAAATGCCAACAAATAATGGAAATAGATATGGTTGAAGCTCAAACAATAACTGAAGAGGTGCTTCAAACACATGTCAACAGAGAAACTCAACATGACAATCAAAACAAATGCCAACAGATAATGGAAATAGATATGGTTGAAGCTCAACCAACAACCGAAGAGGTGCTTCAAACATTTGATTCTATTCAAGTAGAAGGACAAATCATTATAGAGATTGACAACGAACAAGCGTTGGGTATTCAAGTCTTAGAGAGTGCACCGGTAATCGAAGAAGTTGTTGAAAAAACCTTTACTCAACTAACTAGACGAAGATCAAATTTGAAACAAAAAGAATCCCCAACTGCGATATTAAGAGAAAATGCTTCGTTGGATGAAATAAAAATGGGATCAGTATTTGACAAAAAGAAGAGTATAATTAACTGTTTTCGAATATAGTAATTAAAGGACATTTTGAATTCAAGGTTGTTAGATCAAGCTCAACAAGATATTCGTTGAAATGCAATGATGATAGGTGTGGTTGGTGTGTGCGTGCTTTCAGAATTAAAGATTCAACACTTTTCAAGATAGTAAAGATTAAGAAAAAGCATGACTGCTCTGTTAACACTATGAAAGCTGATCAAAGGCATGCAACTTCAAAGTTGATTAGTGGTTACATTATCGACAATCTTCGAGACCCAAGGTTTGAAGTTACATAAGTTTTTGTCATGGCAGAGATGCAAAAATTGCATGGATTAGATATTGGGTATCACAAGGCGTGGCGTGCTATTCAACTTGCTTCCGTTTTAATAAGAGGAACTCCCGAAGAGAATTATGAATTCTTGTCTTCATACTTGTATATGATGACAAGTAAAAATCTAGGAACTTATACTAACATAAAGATAGACGACAACAACAGGTAAACAATCAAAAAAAAGTTTATTAGTACGTTTTATAAAATTTGGGACATGCTGTCTTTAACCTGTTAACTTTTGAGTTGTAACCAGAAGTTTAGGACTGGTTGTCCTTAACTTTTGAACTTGTAATTCAAACTTAAGGACTGCCTGTCCCTAAGTTTTGAACTTTGAACTCAAAGTTAAGGACTGCATGTCCTTAACTTTATAACTTGAAACTCTAAGTTAAGGATTGACTGTCCTTAAATTTTAACCTTGTAATCTGAAGTTTAGGACTACCTGTCCTTAACTTCTGTTAACCTTGTTTTATATTGTATTTTCAGGTTTCTTTATATGTTTTATGCATATGGATCATCGATATCTGGTTGGAATAATTGTAGACCAGTGATTGCTGTTGATGTAACTTTTTTGAAGTCAAATTTTCAAAGTGTTTTAATGATTTCAGTTTCAAAGGATGCAAATAACCAAATTTTCCCACTAGCCTTTGGAATAGCAGAATCTGAAAATAACAATTTTTATGAGTGGTACTTTAGTCAGCTTCGCAATGCAATTAAGAGCCATGAGAATTTAATATTTTTATCAGACATGCATCAAGCTATTGCATATGGCATTGCAAAGGTATATCATGAAAGCCATCATGGGATTTGCATCTATCATTTGGAGCAGTACCTAAAGCGAAGGAAGGTGAAAAGTGAGGTTATAAAACTTTTCTAAAGAGTTGCAAGAGTATACAGGCGCAAAAAATTTGATCTATACATGTCAGATATAGCAAAAGTAGATAAGAAAACTTATGACTACTTGATGGAAGA